CATTCTGGGCAGTGAGACACACAAAGAAAGAAAAAGGAAATTATTTCCTGTGAGCTGGTTTTATAAAAATAGAATGGGTTTTATAAAAAGAACAAGACGAGAGCGGCGTGCACTCACCTAGCAGTTTCTGTAATTATAGATGGTTGAGTGTCAAGGGCAACCATATTGGGTGACAGCGAAGGGTTGCGTCAGACAGGATGTCTCATTTCCAAGCTCCCCTCGTAGAACCCTGTGTGTGCCTTAAAAGCATCTTAAAATTACAACCTGATTATTATTCAAATAGGAAGTCACCCCATTTGCTGAGCTGCAATTTGCACTTTTGCATTACCAAAAATACTTAATTCCCAGGGTCTGGCTTTATTCTCTAAAATTTAGGCGTTTTTCTATTTCCCCAGAAATTGTTAACTTTTTTTTTTTTCCCCAGGGAAATGATAGACATTTAGGAGAACGTAGAAGCTGGGAAAAAAATGCTAAAAATCTTATTCCGATCATGCCAAAGTTGCTTCTCCCTTCTTTAATTTCCTAGTCTATGGAACATAGAACCTTACAAACACAGTAAGCAAGAGAAAGAAAGACAAACCAGAGCTAGGTGAGGTGGCAGACACTAAATCCCAGCGCGTTGGGAGGCTGAGGCAGGAGGACCTCAAGTTGGAGGCCAACTTGGGCAACTTCTCTATTTAGGGAACCCCTAAATTTTTCAAAAGAAAAATAAAATAAATAAAAGGGACTGGGAAAAGAAAAGAAAGAAAGTGATATATTAAGGGCCAGGGAGATGGCTCAGTGGAATAAGCGCTTCCCTGGCAAGTGCAAGGGCCTGAGTTCAATCCCCAGGTCTGAAAAAAAAAAAAGAAAGAAAGAAAAGGGACTGGGGATAGAGCTCAAGAGCAAGGACCTGGATTCTACCACTAACACACACACACACACACACACACACACACACACACGCTTGACATGCCCTGACTTCAGGATCTCTGTAATTATTCATAACCCTTTTCCTGACTGTTTATATGAATGGACTTCTGGGAACTTTTTTTTAAGGTGGAGCCCCTCAAGCTGGCTGCTTCTGCCTTTGACAGAGGTCACAACGCTGCCCTCTACACACCACCCCCGGCCAGCAGATGCCCGTAGTTGGGCCCACGAGGTGATTCTGAAAGAATCATCTTTAAACTCACATACAAATATATAGGTTTATATAAAATAAACATAAATTTCTATAAATGCAGTCTTCTATAAAAATAGACTTATTTATTATGTCAGAGTAAAATAACACCCTTGGAGGCAGCCGAGGGAGGCGATTTCCCCACGGGCCTTCAGCCCACTTAGCAACACATGAGCACGGCCTTTCACAGGAAGCCCCGGCTGGCAAGGTGATGGTTTTCTCCTGTGCCTGGAAGCCCTAACCCCACTCTCATTTCTGCTGCTACTGCAAACAGGGGAACCGAGCAGGGCTCCCTAGATAGCTGCCAGAGACCTGGCTTCCAACGGCAGAGCACCGGGCTTCCTCTCCCCTGCCCACGCAATCAGCCTCCTGCCCCATCACTCGGAGTGCCCTGACATTGATTCTCTCAAAAGTTCCGGGGGCCACACCGAGCCTCGCGCAAAATGAAAATCACACACAGGACTTTAGCCACTGAGTTCTAATAAGTAAAACTGGGGATGGTGACACGCCATGGGATTCCAGCGCTTGGGAAACTGAGGCAGGAGGAAGGAGAGTTGGAAGGCAGCCTGGGTCATGCAGCAAGTTCAAGGCCAGCCTGGACTACACACCAAGATTCTGTTCCACAGGACTGGCCAAATGGTTCAGTGGGTTAAAGCGCCTGCAAGCAGGCTCGCAAGCAGGCTCAGGGGCCTGGGGTTTGATCCCCAGATCTGCAGTGCTGGCCCTACCCCTGGGGTGCGCTGAGACGGCAATTGAGACTGGGCATGGTGGCACATGCCTGTAATCCCAGCACTTGGGAGGCTGTACACAGGCAGATCACTACAAATCCGATTTAGTAGTGAGACCATGAACACCCTATAGGCCCTTCCCTAAAATACATAAAAAAAAAAAAAAAGAAAAAAGATTCTGTCCCACAATAGAAAACCCAATCATAATAACAATCAATCAATAATAAAAACCTAAGTAAATCAATAAATCCATATTCACTACCTACTGAAATATTTTTGATGTATGGCATTAAAATTAATTTATCAATTTATTTTTGCCTTTTTAAGAATATATCTTCCACAAGACATAGAATTAGATATTCTGTTGTACAGGCTGCTTCAGAATGCCTCTGTGTTGCCCTAAGTGACCCAGCCTGCCTGCCACACGTTAACTTAGCTTTTCACGTGCTTTGCCCCCAGAATGTCCCCCCAAGACCTCAGGCCCTTGCCCTGCACACCCAGGCTGAGCTTATCTGCTTCAGACACCACTTTTATCATGAACCGTTCCTGCTCAAGAACCCCCACTCCCATCTCTGGTCATTCAGTTCAAACTCTTAATGACAAACCGGTAATAGCTTCCATTTTTGAACCCTTACTCTGACTTTAGGTAATTCTCCCAATTACCTAGCACCTAGCATAACCGACTCTTGGTGTCTTTTTTTTTTTTTTAAGATTTGTGTTTTAAAAACCAAAGCTCATTCATTTTGTATCTTCTTTAGACAGACCATCTATTGAAATCAATATGATTGATTTGTCAACAAGCTCTTTCACATTCATTCATCAAAGTCTGTGCCCCAAACGCCATTAATTTATTATTTATTTATTTATTTTTTTTTGCGGAACCAAGGATTGAACTCAGGCCCTTGCACTTGCCAGGGAAGTGCTTATTCTACTGAGCCATCTCCTCAGCCCTATATGCCATTACTTTTTAAAGAACACTTATTTATTTTTATTAGTAAATATTTGCAGTACATAATAATTACGTTCGCTGTGGTAAACTGGTATATATACACGACGCAGCTCAATTATTTTCCCCTTTTTCCTCCACCCCTAGCTTTAATTATTTTTCCTTGCCAGCATGAAATTCATTTATTTTGTAACTCCTTATCAAGTTAATTATCAGAAACACGGGTTAATAGAGTGACAAAGAGGCCAAAACATACAAAAGATAGAAGACGATTATATTCAATGAATGTACACTCTTTGTTTTGTTTTCTTTGAGACAGAGTCTTCCCCTCAATTGAGGCTGGCCTTGAACTTACCATGTCACCACGTAGCCCAGACTCGCAGCCATCCTCCTACCTCAGCCTCCCGAGGGCTGGGATTACAGGTATCACTACCACAAGCAGCCAAGGTACACTTTTAGATACATTGGTCATGCTGAATTACACTTTCTCTTTTTTCCTGCTATCTTTTGTTTTGCACTTTATTTATACCTTGTGTTTCTCCTATAAGAGAAACCATCGGCTGTTTACGCCTGTTTGTCTGACCTACTTTATGGAACACTAACGTCTCCAGGGGCATCCATTTTCCTAAGAATGACTTAAGCTGATCTCACTTTACCCCACAGTAGTACTGCATTGTGTAGAAATACCAGACTCCTGGTTTTCTAAATAGAACGGAGAGGATCGCCACGTTTGGCTGAATGCAAAGGGAAACAAGCACCTTTGATCAGAAGTTACAAAAAAGGATACAGTTAAAGCATCCAAGTAGCTAGTATTTTTATTTAGAATTGTTTATAAACATTTTACCACCAGCTAAAGAACAATCGCCATCTGCTGATCTACAAATAGAACTTTCTTTTTACAAACACGCAGAGGTGGAATAATATAATTAGAAAAGAAACTTACATTTGCATTTTAGAAAACCCAACCCAGAAATCCAGCCAGAAAAGCTTAAGTGAAATAGTTCTCTTTGCTGCTCTATTTAAGGTCTACAGTTGAAATACACGCATATACACAATTGGATGTATTTCAGCCTATACACCAGATAGCCACAGTCCTATTACACACCACACAGCCGTACTCATAAAGTGGGTAGAACCGGATTATGCCATTCTACGCTGCTGTAACAATAATTACATTTGGAAAGACACGAACTAAAAAGTTGGCTGGGCATTGAATAAATCCAAAGAAAGCCTTCTGATTCATAAACTGTTGAGGGTAATTCTACCTGGCAACATACGTTTAGCCTGAGGATAAAAGATCCTTCGCCATAATCCATCTCGAACCATGTGCCGTCTTCAAGACTCCATCCCTCTCACTACCTACTCCATTTTATGTACATTTACTGTCATGTTTACAGCCCCAAATCAGGTTTTGCCAAATACGGCTGAGCAAAGCCATTTAGCGCTCAAGTTTCGAAAGAAGGCAAATACATATTCTGCCCCTGTTCACGCCAGAGAACCCGTCCAGCTGTTCAGCCACCCATGACTTCTGCAAACTGGCTGCAGCTGTATTTTCCACCCAAGGTTCCTTAGGAACTCAACGAGATAATGCACACAGCTCCCGCCGCGCTTGGCCTAGGCACGATTTGCAACCGCAGGGCCGTGGATTAGATAACTTCCTATCTGCCTGGCCCAACGGGGCAGCCCCGTTTGGGGAACTTCTCTAAGCAGCTTGAGGACTCCACAAAAGGGTGGGGCGCTGGCGTCTAACGCGGTCTACTAAATTCTGTAGGTTTAATTGGCAGAGTCATACTTTAAGCGGCTGGGTGTGGAGAGAACAAGCGCGTCGGCCGGTCTCCTTTGCAATGGCCCTGACGCAGAAGCCAGACCGCAGCCGACAGAGCCAGCCCCTGCAGCTGTTCGCTTCTTCCTCGGGGCTGGAAAGCTCTGGCAATGAAAACACCACCACGTGGCCAGCAGTCTAGCCCTCACGCGCTTTCCACCAATGGCGAGCCGTGTCGCGAAGTCAGGGGCGGGTGCTCAGCAGGGTGGTAACGCCCACAGACGCCACGGATTGGCCAAGGGGGCGGTACTCACCCTTCCTGAATGGGCTGGTGGCCAATGGGGAACGATCGCAGAAACCCCGCCCCGTCAGCCGCCCGGGTCCGGGAACCAGGGGGCGGGGTTGGGCGCTGCCGGGCGCGCCGGGCTGGCTGCTGAGGTGGCCGTCGCCGGCTCCGAGCTGCGGCTCCCCGGGTGGAGCGCCCGATGGAGGCCGAGGCCGCGGACGCCGCTCCGGGCGGAGTCGAGGCGGCGCTCAGCTGCTTCTCTTTCAACCAAGACTGCACGTAAGGCTCGGCGCCCGCCCTGCCACAGACCGTGGGGGGCGGACTGTGGC